GCGTCAGCACCTTGCTGCTGAATCTGAAAGAGCACAACTGAAAATTAAAGGTGCACGTCAGAAAAAAAGTCCAGCTGTAATTGCGACGGTCTCATGTTAACGCAATGAAATCCCCAGCGAGGTGTAGGAAATAGCAGTGTGGGTTTTTTATCTTTTTGGGAACACAGTTTTGAGCCGCGGAGGGCTGGGAATTTCAAAAGAACTCGCCATTGGGTGACTGTGCTTCTGTTTAGTTGGAGTCCACCGATTTGCTTTCCCAAGAGCAGAGTTAGGCTGCACCGAGGGCTTTTGCAGAGCCACTTGTAGTGCTGGTAAGTTTCCTTCTGATCGCTCTTTGCAGCTTCTTAGAAAAGTTGCTTTGGAAGCATGAGGTGGGAAGTTTGAAGACATGAAAGCTTCAAAGGGCCGTTTGCCCAGTGATTGCAAAATCCATCTGGTATGCGCTTTCGATGACATACCACGTGACGTACCAGCCAGCCGTGTTATTTTTAGCAAGCTGCATTTTCAGGGGCAGCCGTTTTGCTTAGCATCCGTGCACAGTCCCATGTCGGGGTTGCATTGCTCGGTCTCTGGGCCGCCTTTGCCCGATATCTGCCGAAGTGCTCTTACCTCGGCAGCATTTCACACTGCATCCAGCACTTAGAAACGCCAAATTCCTAATGGTCCACTTTGCTATTCCTCACTTTAACCTGGATCCCCCTCTACAGCAGGGCTGGGGAACTTTTTTTGGGTCAGGGGGCCGCTGACCCACAGAAAAATCAGTTGGGGGCCACACACGTAAGAAGCAAAAAAAAAAAAAAAATCCTAACCCCTCACCAATATGGCCCCCGACTGAGGAGAAAGAGACTCCCCACATTCCCCTCACGCACCAGGTCCTAGGCTCGTACCGGCTGTGCTCCATCCCCACAGAGGGATGGGGGGGGTGGAGCGCCAGCGAGGGCTCCCCAATTCTGGGAGGGAGCCCTGAGCCTTGGGGGCCAGACTCAGGAAATCTGGGGGCCCGTCTGGTCCCAGGGCCTTAGGCACTCCACCACTGCTTTAGAAGTAGAAAATGCCGTACGTTTTCCCTTGTCAGACTCCGTAGTACAGCAAAGATCTGTGATGTAACAGCATTCGGGGGACTGTCTGAAGGATACGCATTATCCCCAGGTCGACTCTGTCTCACCTCCCCGTCTGACCTTCGGCAAGTCATTGAGCCTGCTTGTGCCTCAGTATCTCATCTGCGTAAAGGGCAGGAGGGCTGCATCGGACCCTGGGGTTATCGGATCGCGTGTGAGGGTTTTGCGGTGTCCTGTTCGCAAAGGGAACAGCCCGGGCGCTGGCTAGAGTTCCGCAGACTGGCTTCGCCCGGGCCCAGGCGCCAACGGGGCAAAGTGACTACGGCCCCTGTGGTGCAGAACGCTCAGTAAAGAGGACGCCGGTTTCGGTAGAAGGTTGCCGGTGGCCGCAGCTGGAGGCCTGCCTTTTAGCAGTGATGGAGGGGAATGCGCAGGGAGCATGAAGGGACATCCACGCTGTGCTTGGGGAAGGACGCTGCTGGCTGTGAGAGAAAGGGCAGCGGTGAATCAGCACCCATATTGCAGCAGCCTCTCCGGGCGTGTGACTCCATTCTCTGTGGACATCCACGGGAAGTACAGCGGCAGGAGCCGCGGTTCCGCGGACAAGCTGGCTTGGGCACATGGCTGTGTGGAGAACATAGAAACGTCCCTTCCTTCGCCTCCTGTCGGGCTGTGAGCCAAGGGTAAGCCCTCCGGGGAAGGGGCTTCCACTGGGTGTGGGTGTGGGCGCTGAGCCGTGCATGTGCCGGGCTCATTCGAACCGCCCCGCGCAGCTCCGCCAGAGCCGAGCACACGCCTGCCACGTGCGGGGTGGAGGCAGGTAGCGCGGAGACCAGCTGCTTGGCGTGCGGGGGACGACGTCGGACTCGCCGGAGGATGGGCCTCAGAGCCGCTAGTTGAGGCGCGACTTGGTAGCCAGGGGATGGGGGAGGGCGACGGGTGCTCCGCTAAAATCAATACCCGCGTGGCGGAGAAAGGCAGGGCAAAGCCATCGTAAGGATACGCCCGCAGGTGCTGCTGCCACGGAGAGGGCACCGAGCGTGGCGCTGGATTTTCCAGTGTGTGCCGATGGGGAGAGCGAGAGCGAGCCCTGGCTGTAGTGAGGCTTCCTCTGTGAGACAGCTTTGTGAACTGGGCCTTGTGCCTGCAGAGCTTCGATAATAGAGGGCCATGGAAGCTTTTCAGTGAACGTCTCAGTGCTGTGCTGAAAAGTCAGATAGCCCAACATGCTGCCTGTTCCCGGTGCTGCTGCAGTCATTGGGGAGCCAGAAACCAACCCCGCCCCGTTGCCTCAGTTTCCCCCCCCACAAAATGGGCATAAGACATTAACCCAAGTGGGATGAACTGGGCCTTGTGCATGCAGAGCTTCGATAATAGAGGGCCATGGGCCAGGCGGAGGGTGTCCGTTCATTTGTGGATGATGGCTGTGCGCTACACCATGAGCTGAAGGAATGGCCGTGCAGAGAATTTCGGATCTGGTCGGATTCCATTTCTGCAGCGTATTTACAGGAAACATAGCTCATAAAAATACCATTCAAAATGTGAACCCAGTGTTTGGCTGCTCTGGGTTAGAACCTCATGTCCCTACAGACAGTGTCTGTTTCCAGAGTGGCTGACCCAGGATAATGGCGAATAACTCATTATGCTCATATTCTCTGGTGCTGAGGGCTACAGAGAAATCTTGTTGGGGAGATGTACAGGGAGACTCACCTTGGCACGGGAACCTTACTCGAGGACGGTGTTTAGCGGAGCCTTCCTGGGTTTGGAATGGGCGCCATGTGAAAAGAGATTAAAGACTGAGACTTTTCAGCTTAGAAAAGAGGAGACTAAGGGGAGTTATGAGAGAGGTCCATAAAATCATGACAGGTGTGGGGAAAGTGAATAAGGAAAAGTTATTGACTTGTTCCCATAACATAAGAACAAGGGTATAAGTAAGAGGTAGTGGGTTTACAACAAACAAAAGGAAGGGGTTTTTTAAAAAAATGCAGCACATAGTTAACCTGTGGAACTCCTTGCCAGAGGATGTTGTGAAGACCAGGGCTTTAACAGGGTTCAAACAAGAGCTAAATAGATTTGAAGGTCCATCAAAGGCTATTATCCAGGACGGGCAGGGATGGTGTCGCAGGCCTCTGTTTGTCAGAAGCTGGGAATGGGGGACAGGAGAGGGATCGCATGAGGATTCCCTGTTCTGTTCTTCCCTCTGGGGACCTGGCATTGGCCACTGTCAGCAGACAGGACCCTGGGCTACATGGACCTTTGGCCTGATCCAGTTTGGCCGCTCTGATGTTCTTATGAGCTACCAGGCTCCCGGCTGTGCCGTCCGTGCGGGGCACGGTGAACCGGAGAGTGTGACCGACGAGCGGGACAAACCAGCAGAGACTATCCAGGCACTTAAATGCCTTTCC